GATGATGCAGTGTGGGTGCTGGGCTAGGAGTAAGGTTCCCAGGTGTCCGGTTGGATGTCCTGACTGGACATTAGGAGTCTGGTTACTGTGGGTGGGGGGAAGTGGCAGCCTGTCGCCCAGCCCGGACCCATGCACCGGCTCGGGCCATAGCAGCCCCTTTGAGGCGCACGGTTTGCAGGGCTGCGGCGGAGGACAGAGTGGGGGGCCCACAGCGAGCGGGGTGAGGGGCTCCCAGGGGCATGGGAGGGAAGTGTCGCAAGCTGCCCTGCCAGCTGGTGCTGCTCCTGGCCACGCTCTCAGGCAGCTCCGGGATGGGGAGGGAAGGGGGCTGCCAGGCAGGAGGGCCATGCCTAGTTCCCCAGCGGGGTTGCCGGGGTGCTCTGGTGCGGCCGCAGCGCTCTTGTGACCTGCACTCCCTGGCGGCCTGCTGGCGCTGGGCTTTGCAAGTCCGTTGGGGCTGCTCACGCTGGAGTTGAGGGGGGAGAGCAGCAAGGGGGGGTGGGATCTCTAGGGGAGAGGCAGAGAAGAGGCAGAGCAGTAGTGGGCCTGGGGAAGAGGTGGGGCCGGGGTTCCGGTTTTCAGACCGTAGAACGTTGGCCACCCACGCTAAGTGAGGAATTGGGGGTGGGCAGAGCTGCCCTGGGCAAGGTCTGAGCAGATGGGGAAGGGTGTGGGGAGTCCAGGTTGCCCAGGGCTGGGCTGGGCTTGGGCTGTGACTCCTGGGGGGGTCTTTCTGACCTGCTGCTGGGCTCCAGGGCTGGAGATGCGCCCGCTCCTGGGGGTTTCCTCAGGGCAGGACAAGGGGACGTGTCTATCCGGATCTGCCAGGCCGGGCTGGTCACTGCCCCTTTCTGCCTGGAGCTCCCGGGGACATGGGGCTGGTGCCCTGTGTGCTGGTGGCTGGGTACAGCGTCCTGTCCCGTTCCTGCCATGTAGGGTTGTGCTACTGACCACAGGGAGCCGGGGCTGATGGGGTCAAGAGAGAAGTGCAGCGTCCGTCCCTCCCTCCCTCTGTCCCTGCTTCCCCCATCCCCTCAATGCCCTTGAGCTGAGCCCCCCGGGGTGTGGCCCCCACCCACACTGCTCCTCCCCGTTCACGGTGGCACTGGAGGGGGGCTGGGCGCTAGAGCTGGGAGACTGACCGTTCTCTTTGCTTTCTCTGTCTCCGTGCGTCTGTCTGTCTTTCTCTCAGCAGGTCGTCTGCACTGTCCTTTCATAAAGACACCTGACAGTGGGCCGCCTTCCTCCTCCTCCTCCTCTTCCTCCCCCCCGCGGACCCCCTTCCCCTATGTCACCTGCCACCGCACACCAAACCTCTCCTCCTTCTTCCCATGTAGGTAGCAGTGCCCGGGCGAGTGCCCAGGCCCCGCCCTGCTGGGGGGAGAACGCATTGGGGAGGCCCCATCCTGCCCCCCCCACACAGCCCCTCTGCACGTGGTCTCTGCAGAGGGAGGTGGCAGCTGCAGGGCACTAGAGGTTTGGCCAGGGAGATGGGAGGAGATGGGACCAAACGGGAGAGCCAGGAACCTCCTTTTTCACAGACACCAGCT